TTTTTGTCTTCGAATACCTGTCAGGCATTGGTGCTGGGAGAAGTTAGGTTTCTTGGGCTATTTTTAGTCCCCGAGGTGGGGAAAAGTGGGATTTTTCTTTTAACAATTATTAGTTGAATGCCAGCATGCACTCACCATTTTGAACTCTTTCTGGATCCTTTTGAGGTCAGCAATATACGCCCTGCTAAGGCTAGTGAAGCCCTTCTACCCAGAGAAGGGGAGCGACGGTTCTCAACTAGAGTGAGGTTACAGGTGGTGGCTGGCAGAGGAGATGGCAGGGTGACTAAATGAGAAAGGGATTGAGAAAGTAGTTTATTGCAAGTCTGCTGTGTTGAGAAATGAATATAAGGGGAAATAAAATTGAAGCATACCCCATGGAGTATGGTTTGTGAAGTAATGAATGACAGGCAAGAACTTGTGTGAAGATGTGCAGTGGAGGAGGTAGCACACAAGAAACCCATTTTGTTTTCCTGTTTGCTGGTGATACAGCTCAAGTAGGCACTAATTTAATTACTGGTAGTTCTAGCTGTTCATTCTTCCTTTTCTTGCAGTACTGAGGATTTGTACCATTTGACAGTAAGGAGGGAGGACGGATGGACTGAAAAAGTATCTTTCAGAGGGTTTTTTTGTTTTGTTTTGTGTTTTTATAAAAGAAGTTTGGAGAATGCCAGGATATCACTGACACAGATCAGAGGTAGCGGATCTGGACTCCTGAAGTTAGTATTCAAACAGAAACATTAATGGAACCACAACTTTCAAGGCAGGTGCAAAATGCTTAGTAAAAGTTTGCACTGTCTTTGGTTTGCACTTGTTAAATCACATCTACTTTGATTTCATTTGGCTAGCACCTACCACTATGGAGTCCTGAACAGTGGTGAGCCCTTGAAGTATTTTCTACAATTTATTTTTTTTTAAGAAAACAAATTCAAAATTACACTCTCTGCTTCCCAAACCTACAATAAAAGTAATTCTTCACTGATTTGCAACTTACCAGCAAAAATGAAAGAGCAATATTTCCAGTGAACTAGAAAGCAGTGGGGTTTTGCTTACGAATAAGGGGAACTTTAATCAATTTGTTTCTTCCCCCGTAGAATACAAAGGTCCTGTAGACCACACTGTCCCTTCACTTGCATCTGCATTTCCAAAATATTTTTTTTTTATGCATAACATCCTTGGTAGTTTACAGGGGAGAACTTGGTGCACTGGTAGAAATTGAATTTCTCTACGGAGTTGCAGATTAGACGTGGCACTGTTCACTTTTCTTTCAGCATTAATAGGTGAGAAGTAAGAACAACTTACTGGTTTATTTAGCATACCTACCTCTGAACTAAGAGTAAGGTTTCAGTTAGAGACAAAACCGAGCATTTTCTATTTTAAAGGTGAATGCCCCCTTCTTTAAGGAATATAGCCATAACACAGCAGCCCAAGTACAGCCTGCACAGGTTATGTTACATCCAGCTTGGGCCAGGCTAAATGACAGGTATAAATTGGCGCTTCCAGTGTAGTTTGAACTTTGTTTTCTGTGTAGCGAACAAAGATTTCCTTTAAAAGAATGCTTGGGGGGTGGGGGTGGAAATAATTTTCTGACTTGAAGTACTGTACTGTCTGTTTCTGTTTTCAGTTGCTGGTATCACTGCATTTTGAGGCAGTAAGTGGACCAGTGTAGAGTCTTGTCCCATACCCCCCGATTTCCTCCCCCCCAAAAAATATTTTCACATGAAATGTCAAGTATTGCGGGGAGAGGGTACCTATTGCTCTCCTGGTATTTTAAATGTTACCTTTCTGTAGGATGAAAGTCATGAGAGCCTACTTTCTCCTTATGAATGGTAAGCAGAGTTAGCCCCTCCTGAGATGCTTTACAGAAGCAAAGCACAGCTGGGTGTAAGAGCTGGATGCTGCTTGACATTTAACACTGTACTGCAGCTCAGCTGCTTTTAGACATATCTGAGTCGTTTCTCATGCTGTGAAAATACACCATGCTGTTGTGTATACTGGGAGTTCTTAAGTTCTTAATACACAGTGGTATTTTGAAATTCAAAGACTTCTTAAAACTCAGGGGTTTGACATTGTGATAAGTGAATGTTGAGGATAAGGCTCTTCAAAATTTCTAAAAAAAAAAAAAAAAAAAAAAACACCAAAAAATCAAGGAAAAGAATAAAGCCGGTTATTTTTACCCATGTTATAAGAGGTTTTTTTTTTCCTTTCCCATTCCTTAGCACCTCCTGGGTCTGCAGCAGCAGGTAGCCTAACAGGCTACCTCTAAAGCTGTGCTTACATCAATTGCTGATGCTAGTGCACAAACAAAGATGGACTGTTTTCGTAAGACAAGGCTCCATTGAAGTTACTGCTAATAAGCAAACCAGCTCTGTTCAGTTCAGTTCCATGCAAAACACAGGAAAAGGATCAATCTTTGCCAAACCTGAAAGGCTGAAACTATTACAGAGCATAAAAATTATTTACTTCAAGTGGGCGTAAAACATATTTTCAAAATAAACACTGAAACCACACTTGACTCTTACCACATATATTAATCATATTCTGTGTGGGCATGAAATATAGAAAGTGTTCAACTTTGTATGCCTTCATTTTATTAATGCAGGTTTGTTCTAAATAGCATTTAATATAAGCAGTGCTTCTTAAGTACCAGCTTAGATGCCAGATACAATGTGCCTTCTCACTGTGAAGCGTTACTCCGTTGTAGCTTAGTTTACTCTTAGCAAAAGGGCTTGCCTCCTTTAGTATTTCCCTAATGCTTAACATCCCCTCCCCCCCCCCCCAAAAAAAACCAAACCCAACCCCGAAGTAGTCATAGATGGGATTAATTTGACTATTTGGTTTTAAATTGTTGTACCTATGCTTCTTTAAACAGAAACTTATTTTAATCCTTGCAGTAGTGCAATAGCTTTTTATATTTCTGTAGCAAATCGTTTTCCTACTTTAGCGTGTTTGAGTGCTGTAGTGCTGGATTGATCATCTGCTTTTTAAGCACAGCTCCATGATGTACTGGGCAATTCTTCCGGGAAGAGTCATACTAATGATGTCGTATGCTTGAGTTCAATTTTCACATGCTGCTTACAGGTGAATTAGTGTCCTAGAGGTCTCAAACGTGGACGTTCCCCAGCACATAGTCTGTGAGGTTTGGGGCTTTTTTTTTTTAATACCTTTGGTAGAGTTCTGCTCACTTCTTAGACCTGTAAATGAAATGCATGGAAGTTCCTTCCCTGAGTGGGTGTAATGCTGCAGGAGCTGCCTCTCTGCTGTACCACAGGCAAATCTGCCTCCATCCTGACCTGCCTGCACCTTGAGCTGAGGCTGTGCAGGGCACCGCCACAGCAATTGCTTGCTGAGGTCGTCTTTGCTGTGCTCTGGTCTAGGACAGGCTCTTACTGTGCTCACCCTGCTTTTTTCTCTCTAAACGTACACCCAACCTCTTTGCTCTGGTTGGGTTTAGCTACATTGCTGAGAAGACAAAGCTAGTGCAATAGGGATTTTTTGAAATCAGTATGAGCCTTGGGTTTTATACCATTTTGTTATGACTTGTCTAATCCTCTGGCTCCTGACTATAAATTAATTATCATTCAGTTAGAGCCCATATGTCTCCCATTACTGAGCCAGCAATGACAGGGTTGTGTTGGTTTTGGGGTTTTTTTTCCTCCTTTAGTAGCTTAAATACTGCATTAACAGTCTCTGAAATGCACTCTGGTACTGCTATGCAGCAGTGAGATCTGCATCCAAATCTGAGGTGTTCCTATCATGTTTAGTGTATTGTTTAGCAGATTCCCATGATGGAGCATGTTAAAGAATAAGCAGTCTAGGGAAATCAAACGTGCCAACCTTGGAGCAGTAATTCCTAGAAAGAGATGCTGGTTACACCATTAAACTCCTTTTTCTCTGCATGGAGGTACTCACTAAGGAAGGAATTGGGCTGGTGGTCAGTTCCGCTTGTACAGTCAACACTCGTTCATTCCAGATTACTTGAGGCAGACACAAACACGCTCAAGCCGGGTCCTTGCAGACTCTCAAGATCCAGCAGGGTTTATTAGCTCAGGCTCAGCGCCAAGCAAATGCAACTCTGCTGCTCCCAGACCAAGTGGGATCTGCTGTTTTGGCATGGAGTCCAAGCTGTTAAAGCCTGCCAAGCGTGAAGGGTGCAGACCTGGGTCCAGCGCTGTTCTTGGATCCAAGAGCTCAGAAAATGCTTTGTCGATATCTGACTGTATGGATCAGCTTGGGACTATCGGGGCGCATTAGATCAGCATCAGTTTCAGCCCTGTTAAACTTGAGCTTGCTTCTGTGCGTGTTTTTGTTTTGGTTTTTTTAAGTTTCTTTTTGGTTTTTTTAAGTTTCTTTTTTTTGTTGGTTTTTGGGGGTTGTTTTTAGACTCAGTTCTGGGAAAATTTATTAGCTTGGTCAGCCGCAGGCTCAGCTAACACTTTCTGCGCATGCAATGTGGCATACAAGGAGCTTCTTGGAAACAGACTGCACAGGCACTGAGCTTGCTGAGCAGTAACCAGCTTGGGGCTAGCACTGAGTCAGAGCTGCTAGACTCTGATGATCCTAAATTGACTTTAATTTCTCTGTGCAGTGATTCCCAGCACATTTTGCAGTGAAACAGTATACAAATGTTTCTATTCCCTGCTTTCTTACAGCCTTTATGAGCCGTGATGGTGGAGTGCTGACCATTACACACAAAGCATGGAGTTCTGGATGAGTGCTGCTGGTTAGGGCTTGTGTTTTGGTTTTGCAGAGTGCATACACTGAGACTATAAGTTTAATAACTACAGTTGTCATAAGGGTAATTAGCTTTTCTGTTTGGATTTGAAAATACCTTCTGGAAAAACTGCAGTGTGCTTGGAGTAAGTCAGACTACTTTTAAGATTATATGCTTGACAGTCTGTGGATAGTTATAGTACTTGAACTTAAATTTTCTGACAAAATTCACGTATGCTTGCTTGCTTTTTCCAAGCAAAAGGTCATGTAGCTCTTCTGGGTTTTTCCATATGCAGGTGCAGCTGGGACAAGCGGATATAAAATGCCCGATCACAGAGTGCAGCGAACACCTGGATGAAACAACTGTCCTCTATAACCTGCCCCATGACGACATCATCAAGTATAAATATTTCCTGGAACTCAGCCGCATTGACTCCAGCACCAAGCCATGCCCTCAGTGCAAGCACTTTACAACCTTCCGGAGGAGAGGCCACATTCCTACCCCTGCCAAATTGGAGAACAAATACAAAGTGAGCATGCTTGCACTGCAAAAGTAGGACAGCATTTGGTGGGCACTAAATGAGCTAATGAGCTTTCTTGCATCACTGGGGCTGTGTGCAAGCTGTGATTAGGAATATGAATCTGTAGTACATCATTGATTAACTACCTAATTGATTTCTAATAGTTCAAGCAGTTAAACTTCAGATATTTTTTTTTTGGCAGGTGATGTAATTTTGTCCTGACGCACAATTTTAAAAGAGTGTTTTCTCTCTGACATGCAAACAATATGGTCACGATCAGAAGAAACTGGGGAAGTTATCACTGTAACTGATAATTTTAGACACACAGCTCCAGCAAAGTTAATTTTTTCCCTGAAACTGAGCAAATGAATTCTGGGCACTTACAATGTTATGCTGTTGGCTTGCTTCTTACTTAGAACTAGAGTTCTTGTTTGTTCTTCTCCTCCTCCTTGGTTTTGATTTCTTCAGTCCCTTACCAGAGGTTATACAATAATGTAGTCTCATCACTCACAATACAGAAAACTTGAGAAATACGGAAAAAAAAAATTCCAGCATTTCTTTTAGTAGGTTTGCTTATACTGTGATTTCAATCAAAGATAAAAAGCGAGAGATTACAGTTAGAAAAAGATTTGAGCTGCTGAAGGTCCATCTCAGTTCCAGAAGATGAAGGTTCTGTCTGCAGCATCATGCTCTGTGTTAGTTTTCCATCCGGTTATTAGATTTGTTGTGGTTAATTTCATGATTGAGCTGGCCTTTCCTGGACAAACCAGTTCTCCTCAGTAGGAGTTTAGATGACTGTTTAGATAGCCCTAATTACATAGCATAAGATTCAGCCCAGTATGGAGATTAAAAGGCAGAAGATTGTGTATCCAAGGGAATTGAAACTTTGGTAAAGCTAAGTCTGAGTTATAAGCTAGTAACATATATCTGTGCAGTGCATGAATTACGTGCCACACTGTCTGTTGAGCTCAATCTTTTCAGATTTTTGTCATCTTATGCAGAGGTGGAGAAACTTCACTGCAGATGAAATTCCTTCTGCCCACAGCCATTCTCCTTCAGCCATCCACTTAGCATTCCCTCAGGTCCAGGGTAGATCAGATGTTGTAATTCTTCTGCAGCAGCCTCTCTGAAGGCGCCAGAGGCTGTTACTGTCCCACCAATGGGGGTCTTGGGTGGCGCAGCTGTTGCATCATGGGATGCCAACTCTGAGAATGTTCCTCAAGGCACAAAATGGGTCATTCTGCCCACCATTGCTCTTTCATGAGTTAAAATGCTATAGTTAAAATGTTCCCACCACTTCCCTACAAATCATAATCAGAAGGAATGGGAGGCTGTGTGTGCATGAAGTAGTGCAAGCCAGAAGCAGTTCTCTGGTCCTGTGGTGATGCATCATGTGTATCTCTGATCTGCAGAGCTCAAGTCTCCTCCTGGGAAGAGACACTGGCAAAACGTGTCCTTTGAGCTGTGGCCAGGTATTGCCTGGAAGAATGTCTAGTTGATGCTGGTGAGAAATATAATTAGGAAAGTGCTAGCAAACAGCATGGATGGCCATAGTCTCTGAACCTGTGTTGTTTTCTGGCATAGGTAGTTTTAGCGACTTATTTTAAACTTAGCACAAGAAAGAGTTTTTAAAAGGAAGAATATATATAAAAAAGATACTGTAAAATTGTTTGAGTAATTACACATATAGCTGTGGACATTATTAGCTCTGTTTTCTTAGATTCTCGTGTGATTGTATGGTGACTTGTCTGTGCCTTGAAGTATAGGCTCTTTGAAGGTACAGGCTCGTTTTCTTCTGCATATAGCATAGGAGACATCTGACTGGAGACTACAAGACTTGGATATTCACATGCAAGCAATATGAACAGCAATTGCACCAGAGGAATTCTGCACCAGCACTGGAAGTGCTGCCTTCAGAATAACTGAGTCATGCGTGGGGAAAGTCTATGCACAAGTCTCCTAATAGGATCACTGCACACAAGGGCTCAGTGCCAGTACCCTCGCTCACCTATATATACACTGCAACAGGAAAACACCGTAAAATGCAAGAGTACATTTGAACGGATACTTTTGAAATGTTATTAATGGCATTTCTAAAAGTTGATATACTAGTTAAAAATATAATTAACATCTAAATTTAAAGGGGTAGCAAATTTATTAGATAGGTTAATTTTCCTTGCTATAGCTGTTTTATGTAAGCTAAAGTGATCTAAGCCCAGCTGTTCAGTTTGCTGCTGCTGTTCTTCATTTTTGAGATCAGAGTCTTGGTGTGCTAAGCCTAGAAGGTTAGGTGGTGCATGTATGTTGAGAGCGAAGGAGGGGAAGGAAAGGGAAGCTTACTGTCCAAACCTTTTTTCTCCCATTAGTGCCACTTAGGACAGCACAGTACACCAGTCTGACTATTTAGTTTCCTATATCAAATATTTGTAAGGAACTACCCCTGCTCCCTCTCATGACCTAAATTGGGAGTGTAAGACTCGGTTGTAGATAAGATCCTCATAAAACTTTGGTCAAAGCTGATATGCCAAAGTGCAAAGGAAATAGGCAAAAACTGAAAAATTGGTAGGTCAGTTCCTGTGCATGGAACAGATACGGGTTTTATAAGAGAGAGTATGTTGGCCTGTTCTGTGAGTTGGTTGAGGTTTTTTTGGGGAGGGAGGTTGGTTTGGGGTTTTTTCCCCCTACACCCTGGACTTCACCTGTTTTACTGTTAGTTTTTTGACCTGCCACCTGCCATGAACAAGCAGTTCTTAATTCTTGGACTCTTTCTGCCTTATCAACCTGTGAGATTCATAATGAAGTTTTCTTATTCACTTTGTCAAGAGATACACATCACATAAAAGAAGGGCTTGAGTGCTTGGCTTTGGAAATGCAAATGTTTTTTCAGTGCAGTTATATAAACTATCTCTTGTTTGAACTACTTGAGTGTTTCTGAAACTCGTTGCTCTAGAACCGGTAGGAATCTGTACTTGCAAAGATGCTGCGATAGAGTGGATCTGTGTAGTTCCTATCAATCAGTTCCCCACTTCTTGGATCAGATTTTGACCTTGAGTAGCAGATATCTTCATGGCTACACATCACTTCAGTCTGCCTTGAGCCTGAACTGCTGCGGACGTGGTGATTTTGCTGTGTTCTCCCCCTTTGCTCTCAGCTGTTCATTCCTGCCAGCTTGCTTTTGCTCATGTTGATGTTTTGGTGTCACACTGGGAGCCGGATCAAAGATCAGCTCCAATGGGATACAAGATTTGTTTGTTTTGTTGTTGCTTATTTTCAGCTGGTACCAGAGAGAGGATGTGTTGGTGACAAGGAGGAGGCAGCTGTTTTGGCAGGAGGCCATATTTATCTTGGAATAAAGTGACTGTGTAGCTGTAGCTAGAGATTGTAATTCGTGTAATCAGTTAGTTGCACAATTAATTTGGCCATCCTGTTATATAGCTAGCGTTCCACTAAGCAGCAGAAAATCCCACTAAGCTTTTTGCAGCTTCAGACTCAGAATATTTTTAATGTGCAATCAGTTTTACTATTGTATCTCACATTGAGCAGTGTTTTGTGTTGCTGTTACCTACCAATTTTGAAAGGTCTTTTCTTGGGAGGTGAGGAAAATGATAGATGGAATAGTTTGCAGTAAAGAGGCTAGCTAAGAAAATGGAACATGCTAGCCTGAAAGGTCAGTGTTTCAGAAAGCTGAGAACCCAAAGGTTAGTATGAGAAGTTGTGTAATCTTTTCTATTGCAAGGGAGACTGACCTCCAGATGGCATAGGATTTTGTGTATATATCCATCCTCTCAATTCTGATCGACTGAAATGGAAGTCATAAAATAAATGGAAAAATATTTGTATGAGGAAAAACATATTTGAAAAAACACTAGACTAATGTTTTGGGGGTTTTCAGATATAGTTTGTCTGCTTTGCTGGACTATAATATATCTTACTGCTTTAAATTTTATGTGATAGCATTTCTGTGTCCTTGTTATGATGATTTCATGCACTAATACTGAAGCATAAAGCAAATCATACTTGAGTCTTTTCTTTCAGAAAAGCATGAAAAAGAACGGAATAAGAATCTGAGACTGCTGTAATTGCCCTATTGTGTTCCTACTTCTTAAGCACACTGGTGTCACACTGCATCCAAGTTTGAATAGGTTTAGGGTTTTGTTTTGTGGCCACTAGTTCTGAGAAAAACAAGGTTCATAAATACTTAAAAGAACATACTTTTCTTTGCCTGCTTAAGGTATGTTCAGACAGTATTGAACAATAGAGAAGTGGTCCATTCCAAATGTAAAAACTATTTACCAGTCCAGTTTTGTGGAAGGGTGCTGTCAGGGGTGGCAGGTAGAAGAGGAAGCTTAGGAACTCCAGATCTGGAAAGGAAGTAGACAGATCCCACTAATTTACTTCAGTTAGTCAGGGCCATTCATGGTTAACAAATGTTATTCTGAGTTCATGCGGTTTTAGCCTCATCCTGTATTTCAGTACTTTCTAAGGAATGTGGTTGGAAACATCTGATGTCAGTGTGCATGTGTAAGATTAAATATATATCCTGGTGGCTGCTGTATTTCTTGCAATTATATACATGCTATAATAGAAATATAGAGCCTGCAATGAATATGTGTCGGATTTTCACCAAAAAAAACCCCCAACAGACCCCAAAACCAACCCACAAAACTTAAATTGTATTGGCATTTTAAGAAAGAAGCTTTAACTTGCAACTTCCCAGATCTGTGTGTTTGGGTTTATATTTTTTTAACATTCATGTTTCATCTCAAATCTCTGAATACTGCACCTGATAAAAGCTTTCAGGTTGCAGAACACTTAATTGTGGCTACAAACTTCATCTTTGGCTGAGGCATAACAAATACTGAGTAATACAATATGATGCCTGCTGTGATCTGTCTTCCCAGCAGTAGGCCACTGTGACGTGCATTATTGAAAAATGTAAATTCAAAGCTTGGAGAAGGAGGGGGGAAAAAAAAAGATATGGAGATATTGGGCAGGATAGTGGCTAGTAATCTGTTTTGTGCATATTGGTTTCTAAAGGATTGTGGAAACATAGATCAGTGCTCTGTGTTAGTTTGGTTAGTAGCAATAAATATGCTCTTCTTTAGGTTCTTCAGAGTGGAATTTTCCTCTTTCCTATTAAGCTGGTTTTATTAGGAGAATTCATCTGGGAAGAGGAGATGCAGGATTGTGCATTTCCTTTGGTTTAGCACCTGGGCCAGTAAACCAACAAACCAGTGAAAGGATGCCAGTTATATTTTGTATTGCTTTTGTTTTATACTTTATCTAGGCCTTAGACATTACTGTGTTTTCATGCAAAAAGTAATAATGTTTGTAATCCACACCTTGCAGCTTTAATGTGTTGTTTCCCTACGAACAAGTTTCATTTGTTGTTCTTTCCTGGGTTTGTGCTGCCTACCTGTGTCTACAGTAACTTATTTCATTGAGAGGAAGCATGTGGTAAGTGCAGCTTTCTTCTGTGTGAGGTGTTTTACTCTGTGCCTTAGCAAAAATGTCTATAGAAAGCAATAAGTCATGCTTGCACCAGGTACAGTATATCAAGATTTCATCCATTTTAATATTACACTCTTTGAATCTGCTTGATATGAAGGAAATGTATGTATTCTAACACTTAAACGCATGTATGGTGTGGGGTTTTTTGCAAGGGTAATGACTAGTAGATGGTAACTGATGAAAATGTTAGTTTTGTACTAAGAAGAAAATCTGTCAACTTCTGGATGCTGTTTCCCTTCTTTGCACTTTAGCCTTATGCCCAGGCAAAGGATCCCGGAGAGGGAAATGCTGTCTTACGAGTAGTGAGAAAATTATTAATTCTCTTGATCATTAACTCCCATTCTTGAACTTGCAGATCTAAAGATGTAGAATGGTATAAAGAGGTAAGCTGAAGTGATGCATTGAGCAGCACATCATATATTCCACCATTAAAGGTAAAATACTCGGCTAAACAGTGCTGCCCAGAGAGAGGAACATCACTTTATAAAAAGGAAGCTATAAATGTTAGACACTGCTGCAGTGTTAAAAAAAAAAAAAAAAAAAAAACCAAACCAAAACATTTGCTTTCTACGAGTGAAGTTAAAGTCAGCTACTGAAAAATGGGTCTGCTAGGGTCATAAAAATGCTCAGCTTGAGCCATTGTGTCAATTAAATTTTTAATGTGTGCCCTTAAAGACAAAAATCTAAATGCTTTCTCTGTGTATAGAACTCTAGGAAATAGTGTTAAGGGTAGCAGACGGCTTCATTTCTCAGTCACACATCAGAGATCAGATCAGCTTTGTATTAGCATGCTGGTAGTGTCGCATGTAGGAATTGCACATATAAATAATTTTTGGCTGCCCCCCAGCAAAATACTTAAGGGAGATCAGAGAGCCTGCTTGGGACTGTGGCTGGAGCTGAGGCAGCACTCCAGCAGTTGGTGTGTCTGAGCAGAGGCAGTGCTCACTCCCAACTGGTGGGAGTGAAGATTTTGGAAATGTCTTTTGGGGGCTTCCATGTGTGACTACACCCTAGGGTGTAGTTTCCTGAACAGCACCTCCACACTATGCATGGCCAACACAGACATGTCCATGTTTCAGTCAGGTCAGATACAACCAAAAAGCCGTTTTTGGCTGGTTGAATTCCTCAGTCCCGTCCATCAGCTGGTACAAAGCCAGGGCAGTGCCGGGCATGGGCTGCAATTGGAGCTGAAGGACAGGTTTCAGCAGTTGCTTGAGATGTGCCTTCCTGTCTTTCAAGCTGAAACATTTTGCTGCCAAATACAGCAGAAGTGAAGATGTTGCAGGAGCCTGGATGTGTCTGTGTCTGATGTGGCTTCTAGTTCTTGCTTTCCTTAGTCATGACCCAGGTAGGAGGCCTGTCTTTCATCAGATCAGCACCTGCAATGTGCCTCTATTTATTACTTGTACAAACACAGCAGCTGCCATAGCTTTTTTTCAAAAAGATAGCCAGGCTCTGGAGGAAGACATGACGACAATGGTACCTGTTTGACGCAATGATGTAAAACCCAGGGAATGGGAAGAACAGATCCTTTCTCAATTTAAGGAGCTTGGCTTGTGGTTTTTGCTGTTAGGTGTGGTCTGTACAAGCGGGGTGTTTGGCACAGCCTCAGCTCGCCCTTACACAACCAAGAGCAAAATGCGGTGCCTGACTTCCAGGTGGTAGTTGTGGGCCTTGGTTGAGACCCTTGCTTGTGGCCCCTTTTCCCAGGACCATTTGTAATAGAAGCTTCGTAACCTGGTCTGGTCTCCTTAAGAAGACCACGTATTCCCTGGTGATTGCCTTGGCAGTGAAATTTATAACTCAGAGGCTGAGATCCACTGCACTGAAAACTGGCTGCTAATTTTTAGGTGATCTCATGTGTATGTTGGAGGCAGTTGAATAAGCTTCCTGGATTTTGGCCTTTGGCGTTTGAGCCACGCGGTGAATTTGGGCAGCAGTTCCTATGCTTAAACCAAGCTACTTGCGCTTCATTTGATTGTGGCCTTTTCTGGCTTTAGCAATTAGTTCTGTATTTTCTGTCTTATAAAAAAGAAAAGGAACAAGGTAACTTCTTGTGTTTTTAAAAGAGGTATTTCAAAATATATTAGACCTTTACTGGGCAGCTACTTTCTTAATTTAAGAGCAGTGGGTTTAAAATGGGCTTTCCAGTTGAGTCAGGACTCAGCTTGCAAATGTGTGGTGTTTTCTCATTTATACAGATCCAGTGTCCATCTTGCCAATTTGTCTGGTGTTTCAAGTGCCACTCTCCCTGGCATGAAGGCGTTAACTGCAAAGAATACAAGAAGGGAGACAAGCTGTTGCGTCACTGGGCCAACGAAATTGAACATGGGCAGAGGAATGCCCAGAAGTGTCCAAAATGCAAGGTGAGCTGCTCTCCCTTGGCTTGCAGGTAGTGGCTTCAAACCCTTTAAATATGTATTTACAGTAAATATTTGTACCTTCTGCTCAGCATTGGAAATGGAATTCACGCTTGCTGTGCAGATTCTTGTCGATGACCCATTGACAAAAACAGGTCAGATGTTTTACTTGCTGGTTCCCGCACTGATTCTGCAGAACCTCTGCATGTAAAAGAAACAATAGGAAAATCCTAGGAGAAGGCTTTAATGTATTGCTTATAATGAATGTGTGTTACAGTATGATTTTTTTCTAAAATAAAGCTTTAAAGAAATGTAAAGCATTAGAGAAATATGGTGCCCTTTGTTAGCTTTCCAAAGAGCTTGGGTCAGTTGAGTTTGAGTAAGGCAGAAGGTACTCTACCAACAAGTTAACTAAGGGAGACTTTAAGATTTGGGAAAAACAGAGAGGTTTTAGGATTAAACGTCAGTTCTTCACAAGCCTTTCTTATAAGCTAGTTTAATTTTCAACAGACTGAAGTGCTGTCCCATGCCCTAAAAATGGCATTAATCTTTTCCAGGACAGGAAATATTTCCCGCTACTCAAGTGAGATGCAACAGCCTGGCACATCCCTGCCCTGGCTGCCCTTAATGAAGGTGGCCGTGATGTTTGTTCACTTTTTTTTTCCCCACAGCCCTAATCCCCAGCTACTGACAGAGTAGTAAGTCAAAACCTTGAGAGCACCATGGTGGTGGGAGTCTGTGCCTTTTTTTTTGAAAGGGAGTACCTAACCTGAACCTGTCTATTGCTCTACATCTGCTTCATAGAGAAGACAAAGTAAGGAAACTGGCATATTTGGTAGGAAATAAATATTGAATGGGAAGATTTACTTCTAAAAGTCCAAAGTATACTTTTGCCACGCTTTGAACCTTACCCTGTGCAAATATGAGAACATTTATCAGTTTAAGTATTTTATTTTGGTCTTGGACAAAAAAATGCCTGTGATGCCGTAGCTTGAAATTGAAAGATTTCAACACACTACTTAAAATTTGGAAAGCTCTGAAATCAGCACTTGGTTGTTTACCCTTCCTCCCGCGCACACATGACATTTGAAGAGTTTTAACAGCTTGCCATTTGGTAAGAGTTGATAGGTTTGAGCTAGTTCTAAAAATGTTCACTTTCTGGGAAGTCTTACAGTAGAATGCTTTTAAAAAATTTGCTCCTTTTGGAGTAGGAAGAGTATCTGTTTTGTTTGTAATTCTTTGACTTGTGTCCAGACTCAGATTTTATGACAACGTGAATGATGTAACTATTGAAATAATTTGTCCAAAAAAAAGAAGAAAATGTGCCAAGCAAAAAAAATATGAGTGTGGAAAAGCAGGGGAAAGAGGCCTGCCAGCTGGATAGAGAAAGGAACTAAAACTGCTAACCCTAACGTGTTTATCCTTAAGTTTTAAATTTAAAACGCAAAATGTACAACTGTTTTCACTGTCTTCAAGAGAAAAGGCTGGATGCTTGAAACTTACGCAGGTTAAGTCACTAATTTTGAAGCCTGAAGTTACATGAGTTAGGCTCTTAATTCCAAAAATACTTTAGATTTCTTTTCATAGTCAAAAGAAAATAAAACCTCTTCCATAGTGGGAGGCAGTATGGAAAGTTATGAATGTAGCACAGAAAAAGAACTTGTGTTACCTTTCTGGTAATGTGGTGTTATAAGTGAATATCAGAGAGTTCAACCTTTTCATAAACTTTATTGCTACCCCCACTCCTGATATTTTTTTGCAGAGGTGAAAAAAGTTGTTCTTGCCTACAATCTCCAAAATGTTTATATGAACACATTGTTTATTTTTAAATCAAATGTACAACTAGCAAGTAATCAAAAGAACCACTTAGCCAGTGGTTAGTGGTACTGTTCTTTTTCCTTTTTTTTTTTTTCCCCTTAATCTGTTATTGAGTAGTTATTAAAAAAAACCCAAACCAACAAACCACATCTTATGCAGCATTCTTCATCTTTATCACAGCATTAATAGATGTCTGGGCACATGGGGATAAACATACCAACAATTAATAATTTGGGGTCAGGAGATTGGAGCTATACTTCCTCTGCCCCTCTCTCCAGCTATCCCCCCAAACCCCTATGTAAAATAACATCGAATCAGATGACTGTCATATTTCTGAATAAAAAAAAAGAAAGGAATGACAGAGAAAACAGAGTTGGTAACCTAATATTTGATTTGTCCTTGTTCTAGATACATAATAGGCAATGTTTCAGGTGACAACATACTTTATTTTGATATGTGCATCTATTCTATTTAAAGAACTTCTTTCATATTTTGGTTAAAAATCTGCAGCAGCCAAAATTGACAAACAGATTGAGGAAAAGTCAAGAATAAATTGTAAGTGTCAAGATATTAGTATTTAATCTTTAGGCTAACACTGAAGCTAACGGAAATTAGAGGTAAAATTTTAATACAGGTAGAATTTCTTTACTGAAATAACTTGTGAAATTACTGGTAACTTTCAATGTGTGATACTGATTACAATGTAAACTGTGACCATACTTTACAGATATCTTCTGGAGATAATTATATATACACGCAGACTCTTTCTTTCAGTAGCTGTACCACAGTGAAGTAGAATACACAATTATTGTTTTGTCTGGGCATGCAGGTGAGAAAATGGGAGCACTCTTATGGTGTGTATATAGAGGCAGATCCTTAGGCAAGTATTCACAAGTTTTTCAGTGGTTTTGGTAAGTGCTTTGGAAGAACATAATCCTTTGTAGTGTGAATACTAGCGGACACTGTTAAATAACTGTAAACTTGATTCCTTTTTCCTGTAGGTGCACACAGCTATAGTGCACCTAATAGAAATAGCTCATATTTACCTGATCTCTCTAAGATATGCTTACATAAGCAAATAAAAATGTTACGCACTGTCAAAATACATAACTGTAGATTCATTTTGTGACTATATATCAATATGGAAATACTACAAAATGCTACTTTTTTAAACTATACCTGAAATTAATTTTGACATTTTTTGGTTTTAATAGAGGCCTTTCCACATTTATAATGCATTGGTTTGAGAAACTCAGCATAGACCATTTTTCTCAACAAGTCTTGTGGAAAAAATGCTGGTCCTGTTCTAGAGGGAGCTGACTAATGAGTACAAATTTGCTACACATTAGGAGATGCCTTTTCATAAATCTGTAACCATATTTGTCTTTCCCACTACTGTTTTAGGGTTTTATTTCTTACAATTTCTTGTGACAATGTGTTAACAGCAAAATGCTTTTCTTCCACAAGTGTTTTTACAGTACAGCAAACTGAGGAAGTACTTCATGTTGGTGTTGTCTTACCTCAGATTTCAAAAACAACACTGTCTGAGGAAACATCAAACAGTGGCTCTAGCTTAGAAAGCTTCAAACAGCAGCAGAAATTTAAGTAAAAAAGGATGTCAATGCAAATCAAGAAGTACGCACTGTGGATTCACTGTTCTGAGTAATACGAGTGTTGTAACAAAACTCGGGTCATAGTTTTTGAAGGTCTTCTGAGAATTATTTCTCATCCTGTGGAGGGAGGAGGATCCTTTCTTGTAAATGAAGGGATAAAGCTGCTTGCCAGTGAATGGAGGAGAAATGGCCACTCTCATCCTCAGATCTCTTGGAAGTGATTTCCCTGGAAGATTTCTGTGAGAGGGCTTGTAACATGCAGAGGAGGTAAATTGAGGATCTGAAATAGCCACTGTGCTACTTTGTTTCCTTAAGAGTCTGAGCTCCGTGTGCTTTGCCATTGGTGTGTAATTTTCACCCCTCCTGTTCCGGGAGCCATTCTTGAGTTTCTGAATGACTAAACCGTTCCCTGTAATGTGCGGGTACGTCTTTGGGATTGAGCAGGCTTTGGATGCAGGATGAAGCCAGTAACACCACACCAACTGAATGCTTGGAGGCAGAAACTGGGCTTGCGGTGCTCTCACCTTGGCTCCTCCAGCCCCACCGTGCTGCTGGGGAGCCTGCAGTTACAAGGCACCGAACCCCGCACGGCTGCAGCTAACTATAGCAAGCCGCATTCCTGGCCCCATGCATTCCCTGGGTGCATGCCGCGGGATTGCCAACGGAGCAGGAACACTTGTGGTGTTATCTGACCCATCGGTGATCGCTTTCCCAACCTATAGATTTGTAATCTATCTCTGTCAGTGGATTATCCTGAGGGGGGAGAGGCACGTCCATGTGAACCAGAGCTGAAGTTGATCTGGTGAGATGTCATGTCTTAGGCTTGAAAGCAGCTTGACCAAATCATACAAAGTTCATCTGGCATTGTCAGTCTGCGGGCGTATGATGGGGAGTCCAAGCCCCACATCCAAAGTTGTTGGGGGTTTTTTATTTAATTTTTTTTTGATGATGTCTCTCCTCACTAAAAAAAGGAAAGCTTGTTGCAACAGAAAGTGTAGGCAAGTACAACCAGTTCCATATTTGCAGCTTTTTAAGACAGTTATATGTGTAGATAAGTATTCACTAAAATTTTTTAATACTTTTTGAAGAAGTGAAGAATAAAGTACATGTAATTGCAATATGTGCCTGTAAGAGAATAAATCCTCTATCAACTTTATGTTTTAAGAGGACAGTATGTCTGGAGGATTTAGAGCAGAAATAAGTAGATTCAGAAGTGATTTAGGAGTGCTGCCTGGCTAACTGGAGCTGAGATGCCTCTAGGAAGGTGTGGGTGGAAGGATAGCAGGCAGTGTCTGAGAGGTGGGTATTTCTGAAACGTATTGATGATAGAATGTACAAAGCTATTGCCAGCAGCTCCCTGACGTTCTTACTACCAAAGAAAATTAATTTATTTTTGAAATGTGAAGTAGTTTTGGTTTGCATCTAGGGTTTTTATAGGCTCCAGGCTTGTACAGATTTTCAAGTAGGGTGGATGGTAACTTAATAAGTGGGGTTGGTAAATTGGAGAAGAGAAAGGACAATTAAACAGTCTTGATTCAGAAAGAAAAGAAAACAACCAGTTTTCATTAGTATCATAAGATAGGTTTCCCTCATTTACATTTTTAAGATGGAGATATGTCACTGAATCAGCAGATATGGAAAGGTACCTCTAAAATTACAAAATTCTGTATAGTTGCTGTCTGAAAAACTAATTGGAATTAAATTTTCAAGTTAATTTGTTAAAATACATTAAGGCACTATTAAAACTCTTTAATTTCAGTTCAAGTTAATCTTTTAGGAATTACATAAACTATGGCTCTATTCATAGCATCAACATTTTTATATGAAAAACCTTAAAAGTCAAACTGACAATGTCCATTTTAGAATAAAATAGTGTATACCTTCAGAAATTATGCGTAAGTTGCTGCAATAATGGGTAGACTTTTCTTACCACTTTGCTTGCAGTCAATGCTCCAACCGTGAAAGTTTTGAAGTCAAGTTCAAGTGACTTATAAAGCTCACCAGCAATGGTATTTTCCAGGTGCTTCTAGAAAACAAGGCATGTGTGATACAGGAAGCTTCCTCAGGGCAGAGGGGAAGAATTGCTTGGTCAGTCTATTTCCATCCCTTCTATGGGATGAACGCAAGTCCACTAGAATACTTGCCCACTGGAAAGTAACGTTTTATAGCCTAATCCTCTCTTTTGTGAATGTCTTTCCCCTCTTATGTGTTAAAGAAGCATTTGAAAGTAGAGAAACGTGAGTTCTGAGATCACTACTGTTGGCACAGGGATGTTGACAGGTGTACCTGGAACTACTGCTAACTACATCTGCCCTGGAATCTTTTACCAGAAGTGTATGGTTCGTGGAAAACATCACTTTGTTACATGTATAAAGTGCCAGTTTCAGTAGCTGTTTGGGTGAGCAAGATTTCTCAGATCCCTGAGGAACCCTCATCAGCACCAGAGAACAAACAGTTGACCCTCTCAAGAATGTTGGATACCCCAGGAGTCAGAAGCCTCCCTTGAGGTGGGAGGCTTCAGTTGTACCTGAGCTTTGAGCATCTCTGGTGCTTGCAGGGCTGCAGAGTGGTGATACCTTGTCTTTACGTGTACCCCTCTGCAAAATAGATACGGATAAGAATTTCAGGAGGCATTTGTTCATCTGTCGCAAGTTTCAACAAATAAAATTCCAGTTGGATGTAAGGGGAAAAAACTATTCCTGGAGGATGGTGAAGCATGAGACAGGAGGTTGCTCAAAGAGACTGTGACATACCCATATTTGGAAATTTTTAAAATCTAGTGGGATGAGGCCTGGAGCAATCTGATCTGACTTAGAAGTTAGCCCAGCTTGGAGCTAGAGGTTAAAATAGATGACCTCCAAAGGTCACTTGCAACCTCAATTATTAGGTAATTTTATCTGCCATTCCCCTCTGGAGCATGGTCTTGGAATGGGAGGGTCTTTAGCAGTTTTTCAAGCTAGGAAATGTGTCTGTTTACCACCTCGTTAGCTATATTTTTAGTTGGCAAGCTTTAGAAGTAGTTGTGTAATTGTAGTTGATGTAGTGAAATACTCAGCTCCAGGACTACCCTCTCTCCTAAGACTCAGAACTATTAACTAAAACTGAAGCCTTACCAAATCTGTGCAAAGTTAGGTAAATGTACTAGTTTTGCAGGAAGAGTACATGGAGATACAGGAATGGAGCTATTTATGCAGGCAATCAGCAGAAAGATGGATATAGAACCTAGGCAGCCCAGCTTCACGCTGTACTGCAGGCATTATGAAAGCTAGGTGTAATTATTTTATACAGTTTGTGGAGTCTTTTTTTTTTTTTACCAGAAAAACCCCATTTCCATGCTTTTCAGATCATTCACTCTAACATAGAGCCTTTCTGGTGTTTATTACAAAATGCCCGACCGATTCGTGATGGTGATGGGAAAGGAAGTGGGGCCACAGGTGGTATAAGAGGGGAACTCATACATGGAGGGATCAGAGTTCATAACTCTATTTACTGTGCTACTTTTATTTTTAATAAAATTTGGTTCTAATGTGTCTGCTTCAGTAATGAAAACAAATTTTCAGTAAGGACAAGGATCACTCAGATTCTTACCTGATACAAAGAGTGTTTAAACAGAGAAAGGATTATATAGAAAATGATGTATGGAAATCTCACATTTGCTCTGAAATATGCCTTAGAAAGCCATTGTTGTCTTAGGACAGCTGCAGTATTAATTAATGCAAATGCTGAGTTAAGCAGGGGGTTGCTTGCAGTGTTCTTTCATCTGATGTGCGGACTGTAGTAGGTAGTGCCTACTTTACTGTGCTTAGGGAGGGGGGGAAAAATAATCTTTTCTTTGTTTTCTTCTGCTTATACAGATCCACATCCAGAGAACAGAAGGGTGTGACCACATGACGTGTTCACAGTGTAACACTAATTTCTGTTACCGTTGTGGGGAGAGATACCGCCAGCTCCGGTTCTTCGGAGATCACACCTCAAACCTCAGTATCTTTGGATGCAAATACCGCTACCTCCCCGAGAGACCACATTTAAGGAGATTAGTGCGAGGCTCAGTCTGTGGTGAGTGAATAAATGTTCCTTGTGGAGAGCTGCACAATGAGGTGATTGGGGGCAGATGGAGGGGAGCAATAATAGTTAAATAAAAATTATTGGTTTAAAGTATCCGATGGGCAGCCTGTTTAGTTATGTAAAAGGTGGTTTATTAAATATATTTAAATATATAGCACTTGCACTCCCTGGACTGTATATGAATAAGTATTGTGTCCTCTTCTGATAGCTTCTGTTTCCTAACCCTTTTTAAAAATATGTAAGCAAACTGAAAAAATACTGTCAATATGCATGTTGCTGGCTGATTGTTATTTTAAAAGCATATAGGAGAAATGGATCAGAGCAGGAACCTTTTTTAAATAAACCTCTGTGTCAAGGTTTTATCTGAAAAAAGTGTTGATTGGATTTGAACCTGACCTGGTTTTGAAAAATCAAACTGTTCAGGTTAGCCCATTTAAATAGGAGGACACTTATTTTGTAACTGTTAGCTTTGGTTCAGATAAAACACAACTATATACATTAATTTATCTCACAGGAATATAATGCCAAAAGCTTGACTTTTCTTTAGAAAAAAAAGGCACTCCTAATTTGCTTTTGAACCAGGTGTACACATGTCTCAACCTATAGAAGCACAAGAAAAATAGATACCAAAGTAGATTATTACCTTATGTCATATCTTGCCTATGCATTTACTTCAGTCATTGTAGTGAGTTTATAGCATGTAAAGTGATCTATAACATCATAGGAAATGATTGAATCAGGTGTCAAAAACCAGGAATCTATTAAGGAAAATAAGACCTTTAGTATTTTGAATTAAGGCATAGAAATAGGAAATGACTTGGGATTTACCTAGGATGAGAAAATGCTTTGAGCTTCTGAATTGGTGATGTTGAATGTAAAGGTAAAAGACTGAACGTGTGGAAATAGGAGTCTGCGGTGAAAAGAATATAGAAATAAAATAGGAAAGTAGATAAAATCAAAATGAATGGATCTGCCTGCTGTGATACTTTTTGTAGAGATAAATTCCAACACATGAGAAGATCTAGCCTAGGTTAAAGACAATGCTGGCACTAGAAGACATGGCTACAAACTGTTCATGAATAAATTTAAGCTTAAATTTCAAGGGCTGTTTCAAAGTAAGGTTTCAGAAGAGCTTTCAGTAAAAGCCACAATGGCAAACAAAGTAAGCTGTTTTAAAATGGATCTTGGTACTTTGGGTGGAATTAGTATCTGTGATAGCAAGGGACTGTGCTCAGAGACGTGACCAATTCTGTGCTGCTCGCGTGTGGAATCATGGGTAACATTATTCCAAGATTAAACCTTTTATGTACAATTGATACACAAATATAAGTGTTTCTTATCAAAACATAGATCTGCCAAAAAAACATTATTATTGTCTTAACTTTTGCAACTGTTTACGTGAAAGGTATCTGAATATGCAGTTGGCATGTTGTAATGCCACAAAGTCCGAAATACAGGTGCATGTACTGCATGTGCATAACTACTATTAAAATTATTTTGTTTGCCCTGTTTGTTTTTTTAGGAAACAATAATGCACAACCTTTTCCTTTCAAAAAGAAACAGCTTTTACTAGTAAGAAAGAAAATTAGTTTATTTGCAAACAGTGACTGAGAGGCAGTTAAGAAATATGGAAGTGCATATATCAGTTAAAGTTCAGTGGTGAAGATGTATATGTTCATATTTACAAAAACATGCATAGAGAAGGTATAAGGTGTTTTACTTTCATTTCCTGTTTGCAAGTGTACTTGTGGTTTGCCTTAATTAGCAAACCAAGGAAGATTAGCTAAGCTTAAAGCCTCAGCTTAAATTTCTCCTAGGGTTTTCTCTTAAAAATTCCTCTCCAGGGCTACCTCTGTCATACAGTGTTTTTCTCCAGAGGAATGGTCATTGTTTGAGTAGAGGCAGAGCTAGCTGAACCTGCCAGCACAGGTAGTAATTGCCCTCATTTTTACAATAGCTTAACACCCAAGTTGACGATGATTCAAAGAACTCCTGCGCGTTGATACTCATGACCCTAAATCCGTTAGTCCTCTCTAGGACTCTGTTTTGATACTGATCCTGATACAATGTATGAATAACTACCAAAAACACTCCAGAGCCCTAACAGAATTCATGGTTGGAAACAAACAAAGTTTAAACAATTTACATCAGATTAGGATTCAGGATTTCAGTTCATTGTTTTTCCTCCATTAGATTAGATTTTGGCTACAACTGCATGTGTCAGCCTCTCTTGCTTTATTTATTTAACTCTTTTCCACACATGTGGGTACGCACACACTTTTTTAAGAAGGTATGTTGTTGTAAGGTTATGTCTCCTGACATTTTTCTTTCGAGACTGTATAATCCCAAACTGTGATACAGTGTCAGTTCAGTTTGTGGATTCTGCCATCTTGAATGGTGGAAATTTAACAAGGATAGAAGATCTTGTTAAAACTTAAACAGAATTGATCTGTGCAAATTGGACAAATGTAAAATTGAGGGCGGGGAAGTAAAAAAAGAAAAAAAAATTAAAAAAAATTAAAAATCTCAAATTAATTGTCAAGTGTAAAGGTCTGCATAATGAGTTTGTCCCCAACAATTAGAAACAAGATAGAATCATAGAATGGTTTGGGTTGGAAGGGACCTGAAAGACCATCTAGTTCCAACCCCCCTGCCGTGGGCAGGGACACCCTCCACTAGACCACGTTGCCCAAAGCCCCATCCAACCTGGCCTTGAACACTTCCAGGGAGGGGGCAGCCACAGCTTCTCTGGGCAACCTGTTCCAGTGCCTCACCACTCTCACAGGGAAGAATTTCTTTCTAACATCTGATCTAACTCGACCCTCCTTGAGCTTAAACCCATCACCCTTTGTCCTGTCACTACCCTCCCTCATAAACAGTCCTTCACTAGCTTTCCTGTAGGCCCCTTGAGGTACTGGAAGGCCACAATTAGATCTCCCCGGAGCCGCCTTTTCTCCAGGCTGAACAATCCCAACTCTCTCAGCCTATCCTCATAGGAGAGGTGCTCCGGCCCTCTCTGAGGGCTCACTTACTGTGTATTTCCAGTAATCATTGTTTTAGATGCTTCCTTAGTTATGGTTTGTGTCTGAACCTTTGCTTAATAACTATCAAGAAATGTACCCTTTGTCAGTTTACACGGTTCTTAAATTATTTATAGTTTTGGCCTCCACATTATCTTTGGTAGAGGCTGTAGGATTTCCCTATGTAGATTTCACTACATTGTGTAGAGAAAGTACTTTCATCCTTCTGTTGAGTGTTTGTGTGATTTTTTTTTTTAGTAGAATACTGATAGTTTCATTAGTTACTACTTTTATTATGAAATTGAATAAATAATAGCTTGCTTACCCTCTCATATTTTTTTTTATAGACCCTCCATCAGATTTTTCTTTGTCATGATCTTTGATATTTTTTGTTGCTTTGTTTTGAACTGAAGCTTCCTAGTTGTAATCATTTAAGATCAAGTTGAATATTGAGAAATGTTTAATTCCAGTTAGGGATCACGCCTAGGGTCAGAGTTGGCCCAGTAGCTAGAACTAATACATTAAGGCTTTACCAGGCAAGAGTGGAGCATTATCATCATCAGGTGTTACTGTACATTCCGAGAGTCAGCAGGAGATGTTAGAAAGAGGAGACGGTAGCAGAGAAATAGGTCATTAGAAGCGTAGCCTCTAAATTTCAGCAACACGTAGCAAGAAATAAAGGTTGGATTTCCCATAGTAAAATGCCTCTGCTACTTAGCTAAGTAGTGGAAATTAAGAAGACATTCTCTTGGCTGTCAGTGGGAGAGTGGTGAGGTGTTGCTAGATAAATGTTCTTCTGTGACTTTTATTTTCTTGCTATGGAGAGGAAATACTTATTTAAGCAAACGTGGTGATTTTCTAGTGAAGGTTCTTCGGCTTGTTTCTACCAAATCTGGGTGGGTGGGGTATGTAGAAAGGAAAGAACGCTTCATGGCAGGCTGTCATGCTGTCATGCTTTCTGTTGAGAAGCAAATGTTTGTGCCTACAATCACAAACTGTTCTGTAATAAAAATAAGGGAAAAGTATTTATTGCAGCATAAATTCAAATATACTTTTCTTCATAAAGCAATGGTTTTGTAAAGGTGATAGAAATCACAGGGAGAAAAAAATAAATGAGGAGCAGAAGTGGTCTCTGAATTGATGACATCTCTCTCCCCTATTTACTCAGCATATTTTTTGGAGAAACACTGTCTGTGACCAGTACAGTGAGGTGAAATTGCTTTTATCTTTCAGTCCCAGTGGACTTAGACTTCATTCTGATAGTAATTTTTTATTTGGCTGAGTTCTTGAAGGTAGGATGTTTGGTTATAACTGGAGTTAGTGATGAATTGCACAAAAAGGAAAAAGAAGTTCAGCTGTCTGAAAGGTACTTAAGATGCCGCTTAAGTACCACGTGAATTCAGTTGGGTGAATTATATTCAAAATCAATTGCTAGGTACTTCATGGATACATAGCAGGACACAACATGCAGTGATGCTATTAAAGCATATGAAGGTTTTTTGCATGGTAACTAGGATTCTGCAGGCAGCCTGATTTCAGATCTAACTGACGTGTACTCCTGTCCCAAGACAGAGTGCAAGATTCACTTTATGTATGCGTGGCTTTGAGCACTGCAGAAGGAAGCATGCATTTCTAGGATCCAACCTTTGTTAGCAACTTTATCATTTAAGTCAGTCTGATTTGTAAGAAGTCTCCTATATACACTTCATAAGATTTTTAAAAAACAGATACAAACTTGAATTAGAACTTAAATCTACACAGATATGACTGTTTGATTTGTAAGTAGATACTTTTAGTGGCTCCGTTGCTTAAACATATAATGATATTTAGATGTGGAAGACAAAACTTTTTATTTCTCGTGCTAGTGATTATATTTGTTTTCTAAAACTAGTATATGCATTTTCTTACATGGCAAAGAATTCTCTAAGGATTTATGGGGTTTTGTATATATTATGCTAAAATCTGCAACCAAACCCAAAGTTATGCAAGGGAAAAATATTCCTTCGTATTTCCCTAAACGTTTCCTCATTTAGCAGAAAAACATCATTCTCTATATCGCAAGTAATGCAGCCCCTCTGAGACACCTGCAAATAGAGTTATTAGATTACCACAGATGTCTAAATCTTCATGATGAGTAACCCAGTAGAGAAATTGTTTACCATAAATTTGAGTGGAATTGTAAAAAGATTCCCTTTTTAGGCTTGTTCTATTTACAACCATTTCTTTTTAAGTCCTCCTTAAAAACTAGCTTTGAACATTACCGAACTGGCTATTATAACCTGCTGCTGAGTTCACCACATGGGCTAATGCCCCAAGATTTTATTCAGCTCTGAGGCAAGTTTTACATTTGCTCTCTCTGGTAGCAGTGTCAGAGCTAAGACACATGGACAGTGGATTGTTGGGAAGTGTAGTGCCTGTGACAAATGTCCTTAGTCTCAGCAGCGCTTCTTGGTGTGTCATGATTCCCTCTATGATTAAGAACCTCATAACCCTTCACACTACAACAAATGATGTGTGTCAAACTGGAATTAGATATAAAGTAATGTTCAATTCAGACATGTAAAATGGAGCACTTCATAATTGTTTCATGCAGTGCTGATAAAAATGACTGGAGTAAAAGGCACATATCTGCTGCTTTGCAGTGATTGCTGGTCTTTGTACTCATCCAAGTCTTGTTCACCTGGTGTTAACTTGTTCCTTAATTTTAGTTTACTAAGATAAAGAAAGATAAAAGATTTAAATGTGGTAGATATATAAGGAGAAAAGGTATTTTGTTTTTAAAGTTTAACCTTTAGAAAGAATGCATTGATAACCAAAAGAAGATACTGTCCCTTGACTATGACAGGTCATTTTATTCTACAAGATCTTGGAACTACACAATACTAATAACTCCATATTCACAGGCAGAAGGAAAAAGATTCACTTATGCTTTACTTCAGTTCTGAGTTTAGTTTGTCAAATGTAAGTAAACAAGTTCTTAAACTGAATTAGCTTAGGAATAGTTCTTTATGCCTGCAAAGAAATTACTCCAGTCAAAAGTTGGCTAAGCCCTTTCTGCAGACTTTGTTTCTATGTACTTAGTTGCCAGTTCAGTGGTTTAAGCTTTTAATAATTTTGGTACCAAATGTAATCATTTTCTAACATTCTGATTACATGGTAATTAATAAAATAAAGACAGTTCACACCTTAAAACAATCTTTTATAAGCTTTACTTTGAAATTGTTAAAGGCTCTGGTAATGTTTTCAAATGTTTTAAATTAGTCATTTTTTGAGTTTTCTTGAGGTTTTCCATCATTCTACATTCCTTCTCCTGTCTACACTTGAATAATTTATTTGACAACTTCTGTGTGTATAGAATGCAATGCAATAGAGTCCCAAGAAAGTCTACCATTAGGATGCCTAGCAACTAGAGTAATACCAATAATATTTGCCAATTTCTTTCTTCTAGGAATTAGTTTCCCACCAGCAACACTCCTAATGAAATTTAAAAGCTATCAAAACAGAGCATGAAAAGGACCAATTCATTTAACTGCTGTAAATATTTCCAAAATACCTCATTTTTCCTTCAGACTGCCCAAATTAGTGGCTCAGGTTATGGAGAGGTTTACATCATTATTGAATGAAGTAATCCACTTACTGAAATCTGATACAAGTGACTTGAGGGAAGGGTGGGGAAGAGAGAGGTAACAAACTTACTTTTCCTCCCTTTCTAGAGGTGATCTTTCAAACATGTGCTTAACTTAGAGAATTGCTTAATTTCAAATCCCTGATCAGACTGCTGGTGCATCAGTAAAAATGCCTGCCCTGCTGCCTTTCCAAACAGCCCAGACAGAGGACGTCTTTGACCCAACCACTCAGCCACCCCAGCCAGGGAGATTCTGCTGTTCAGTTGAAAACATGCAACGCAAGAAAGAAAACCTTGAATCCAAGTTCAGTTTCAACTTCAGTGTTTCAGAAAGAGTCCTGCCTTCCCTCCATGTATTTCTGCAGATCATGAACTCATCAGAAGTGAAGAATATGAGCATGCTTTATTTGTTCTTAGTCTTATGCTCTAGCTGGTGTGCTGCACAACCTTACTCATGTAAGCACAGCAATGTATCCAAAATAGACTTGGCTGTGGTTTGATTTAGACCTAAACTATAGCTGTATGCGAGGACTTCACCATAGCCTTTTAAAGCGAGCAGAAGCATATTTCGAGGTGATGGTCTCATCACCTTGAGCTAATCTAAAGTCTCCAAGATGCTGGTTCGCTTGGCATCTTTCCAGGATGGTTGCTGTGCAGTAGGATTCCGGAGAAGCCAAATGACAGTAGCTCTATAGCTATCACATTCCTGTCGATGCCTGAGGGATTTCAGAATGGAACCAGAAGTAAATGCAAGCTAACTGTTAATGTACGAAATGAGCTGTGCTCGGAGAGTTGTGGTGGGTGAAGAGGGCAGAGAGAAATGTGTGCAGGGAGCTGGCTGAGTGGTGATAGCTCCTAGTTGGATTTGTAGGATGAATTTACAAGTAGGAATCCTGGTAAAGTATTAAAAAAATGAACCAGCTTTGGGGAGTCCAGTATCGAAATATTTATAGATGGTTGGAAAGGGAAAAATAAAATGCCTACTTTGAATTGTTCAATGAATTTTGCATTTCAGCTGGAAAACTACTCATTACGCCCCTAATTCTGGTTCTGGGACTGGCACTGGGAGCCATAGCTGTTGTAATAGGTAAGAGTTATATGTGCAAATGAGTCTAACTCTGATTTTTGCAGTGACTTTCTGCAGAACATCTCAGTATTTTCATCTCAGAGATGGACATACAGTACAAATCTCATAGACATCGTTTTAGTGTAAAGCATATGACTTTTTTCCTAAAAAAATTTGGGTTTAGAATCTCTTTTTTCTTACTTGCTTTTTATGCCTATTAGCTTTATTTTTGTTCCCCAATTACTTGGTTTTCTGAACCAAAATCTTTAGCTAGTATAGTTAAACTAGTAAAAGGCCAGAGTAATTTAAACATAGTCCTGAGGGGCTGGCTGACTTGGACCCTCCCTGTAATCACCCCAGTGGATCACAATTCTAAGATCATGGCCATGTGCATGACAAGATGTCTGGGGCACTAGGTATAGTCCCAAGAGCCCTCCAGCTTGAAAATGCAACAACAACAACAACAAAGCAGCAAATTGGGATGAGTCAATCTCAAAATCTGATTCAGTGCATAGGCTGCCGAAGTGGATTCCATCACAAAAAACAGTGCTGTGAACTCATTTGATATAGTATAGAAGCTCTGTTAATGTGGTTGTATTAATGTGGATGTAATTATTCTAGTGAAGCTGCTCTTTGTCTGGCTTAACTGAATTCTGCAGAAATGAAATGAGCCATAATGATAAATGTATAATTTTGCTCATGTAAGTGAGCACTATTATGTTCGCACTAACATGTCAATTGGGGATCATGCTGCTTCACAACTCTTCACCAAACTACTTACTCCATGGAAAATTTGCAGTGTATGCCCAGCCCTAAGGCATGTTGGGATGTGGCACCTTTATTTGGATGTAATAAAGCCAAATTATACAAGGATAGTTACAGTAATAAGATTGTACTTAACCAATCAACATAAAAGCACAATACCCATTACAGCTTTTCTAGACTACATCTGGCCAAATAAGGAATATTGCTATTCATTTCTGTATTTAGGCTAAGAATACATAGCTTTTTCCTGTATCAATATTCTGAGTTGGAGTGACTGAAGGTAGATAGATATCTAAAATATTTATTCTTTTTAGTGGCATTTTTATGCCAAAAATATAGGCAATAAAGACTTCTTAATGCCAGTAAAGTTTATTTTGCTCAGCAATCTGGTATAATCTATGCTGCTATGCTGGAAAAAACACCACTCTTTTGCTTATGTTAAAAATTAAGAAGGTTTTGGAGTAATACAATAGCAATAATTGCAATAATACACAGTATGCCATTGAAGTCCCATCCTAGATATGGCTGGATAAGATATGATCAAGAGCAGCAGTATGAGCAGTTCTAAAACCATTGATAATTTACAGGAAAGTTTGAGTTTTGAGGTAACTACAGTAATATTTGCTGCCAACACAACTGTTACAGTAATCTCAGTATCAGATGCTGAAAGCTATTATACACTATTTACAAGGCTGTTGAGCAAAGCAAGGACCTTGGTGACTAGTAGTTTTCTGTTATATGTTGTGACTGTAGTGGTGTCTGAAAAGGAAATCTTTCACCGTTTCAGTCAGCTGGTGGCAAGAGAAAGGAAGGGAGAAATGCTTCTCATTTGGGTTTGAAAGAGTACCTCTCTGACAAACTATTTTTCACTTGAATAAATCTGATTTATTTATTTATCCTTTTACAGCTTCCTTTCTCTCAAAAGATTTTTAAAAATAAATAGTTCCCTGCCCAGGCAAGGATAAACACTTGGTATTACTTCACAATAGATGAGGATGTTTGTAAAAATAAATAATATTTAAAAAAAAAAAAAAGTCAAGCTATAACATGCTGCCTCTGCTGCATGTGAAACTAGTTGAAAACTCAGTTAAATCAGCCTTGGATTAAGATCTAAGGATTGCCAAAGCACTTTTAAAAGTTTGTATCTTATACTTGCATGGTTCAGGAATTAATTTGTCAGAGATGAGAGTAGAGTTAGCGGGCATTTGTTGTAAAGTAAACAGAAAGTGTAGCTTAACTCGTTACCGAAGAGTCTATTGCTGGCTAATATTTTCTTCTGCTTCTCCAAATGCCTTGTCTCAAGTCTCTTGAGACATGGAAAGCTGCATCTGAATACTCTGCATAGATTGAAAGAACAAAATGCACGCACAAAGGATTGCATTTAATTATGGTTCTCATATCCTTTTCTTCTTTTGGCAGGTTTATTTGTGTTTCCTATCTATTGCCTTTGTAAAAAGCAGAGGAAAAGGTCACGGACAGGTATGCCTTGGTAAGGATGGACCTTACTCACCTGAACTGAGCTGGTCCTGCAAGGGCTATATGCGCTTTGTGCAACAGAGCAATACAGTGCTGGTAACAGCATCAAAGCCACCGCCCTGGAAGAAGAATGGGGGATCTCCTGCTATTTTTCCTCGGCCGAAAACACTACTGCAGACCAGAAAGCCTCTTTGCTCTGGTGCACTCTGAACAGGATGGGCCCCCTGACTGCTGCTTTTTAAATGTTTTGGGGTTTGTTTTTTTGTTGTTTTTTTTTTTTTAATTATTACTTTGGAGGGTTTTTTTGAGTCTAAGTTTCTGAAGTAGACAATCAAAGTCTGTATTGTAGCCACAACTCTACTACCGATTTGCCCTGTGAAGAAAGCATTTAACTGCTAACATGTGCTCCGTTTAACTTCAGTGTCGGCCTTTAAGGGGGAAATGCTTAGAAGTGTTTGGACTCTTACTGTATACTGAGCATACTACTTTTGGTATTAAAAACTACTTCTGTAAATAACTTCCATCACACAGCATTCTGTTGAGCATACCGAAACCCCGTCACATGCCACAGCACGACAGCTGGTTATCTTCTGAGTCCTCCTGCTTGGGGCAAGAGTGTAGATTGCCCCCGCCAAACTGCAGTGCCTCAGAGGGAAATATCCTTAGTATTGAAGCTCCGTGATACTTACAAATACACTGACTGGTTTTACTTCAGTATTTAATTTATGACAGTCTGTTCATATTGATCAGGGGGTGACAGATTTGTTAGAAGAGCATTTTGAGACTCTCCCAATACAGAAAAAATTTGAAGGCTTTAGATAACAAGAAGTGTCAGTGGCCTGTTCTGTCCCAAGATATCCCTGAAGTGTGTTTGCAGGGAAGCTGGAAACCTACTCTTCTGTTCTGACTTGGCATATAAAACACATGCTGCACACTAGTTGTGTGAAGATTGACTTGATGAAGTTTTATAGCCTATTTAGCACGTTTTGTTTCTTCATTTAAGTAGGCTATGTAAGTCTTAAAGCATCCACCGATGCCTCATGAGAAAAATCTGTGAATTTTGGGTAAGGGAGGGGTCGTGAACTCTTAGGAGACCATTTCATTCTTATTTTCTCCTTCCAGTATTTCTCTTCCTGGCATGTTATAGATCAGAAGAGAATAGCTATCCTTGCTCTTTTTTTCCCAACTTCAGAGTACCGCTGTTTGCTACCAGACCTCTTTCTGAGTGCATCGCCACAAGAACAATGTAATTCAGTGTTAGGATTTGTCTACTGAGAGTTTTTCCACTTTTAGTTATAATCCAAATTTATCATCCAACTTAAAAAAAAAATAGAATAAAATACATTTATGGAAGCAGAACACAGAAACAATAAAGAAAGGAACTTAAGAGAAATATCTGCTTTATACTTTAAACATACAAGCTGATCTTAAAGGTATTTTTTTTCAATGTGTGTTTAAAGATACATATATATATATGTTTGTATAGATATGGGGAGAGGGAGAAGCAGGGAGATGGACAACGTTCTAAAGAGTCTACAGGCTTCAAAATTTAGGCCCGCAAATAGCATATCATTTGAGAGGATGTACTTTGCACCGCTTTCTTTGAAAATTGTTATTAAATCTGAATCTAGTTGTAACTTTTAAGTAAATGGTATTCTGCCCCACCAACATAATACTGTTATAAGATACTCACTTTGACTTCGAAGCCTCAGTGGAAGAAACTGATGAATTTTGTTTGCCTGGTAACACAAAAATCAGCTTATCATAGTTGGCTAGTATGCTTGTGTTCTGTCAGCTTCTGGATTTGTTTTCTTGTTTTTTTTTTTTTCTTGTTGAAACAGCGTGTAGAAGCACACTATAGTAGTCAACAAGTACTTAATATTTCCAATTGACTTTAAGGGCATGTTGACCTTGTTGTCCGAAGGGTAGAAATAGTACCTTTCAAAGATTTGCAAATTAAGCAGGGAAGCAATGACATTTAGAAGTAAAGTTCAAAGCCTATTGTCAATGCAAATCTACCTGTTAATTAGATTTCTTTTTCTGTGACACATCAGTTTTCTATTTGTGTTCTGAGGTTGGAAACTGCCTTAAAATCGGTCTTGGTTTTGAGTGTGTTTTCTGAGGCTATACATATCAGTTGTCTTTGGCTTACTCAGGGATTTTTATTCCTTTCTTTAAATGTCAAATAATGAAAATATTTTTGTATTATTTAGAAAAACCTTCAGACCTCAGAGAGCAAGATATAGATAGATTTGGGTTTGTAATGCAGTCTGTAATATGGTGTCAAACTATTTCACTTGAGAATATTTTCGTAATTGCGATTATCTGTAATTAACTATATAGTGGATTAATTTCCTTTCTTTTCCTGGTTCTTCATAAATATGTGAGATACTCTTACAGTCTTTGTAGCTGTTTTCACTCTGCCATGTTTGCCATTTTCAGTTTCTGATGGGAGTTCAGTAAGATCTGAAATTAAGATACTAGAATAAAGAGTGTAAAAGGAAGATAATAGATCTGCACTTATGTATATTCAGAAAGTGTGTCATTGTGGGTGGAGGAAAGGAACACACATCTCCTACATTATCATTTCATCTAGGCCATTTTGATTTTAGCAGAACAGATTAAATCAAAGGGAAATGGTTCTTCATTTGCTACACATAGCAAAATGAGGCATTTTTGACCTTGTAAAGAAGAGAGTCAAATCTGCCTTTCTCTGTAGAAAAAAAAATAGTAATGACAATAATATTTGCTTTTCTGTAGAACAGGAAAAAATTTCAAGAGCCAGGCAGAGTAGGGGTATGGAAGTCTTTTTTCCATATAAAAATATTCCCACCTGAATAGTACGTAAATATAATTTTTCATTAATATTATTTAACATAACTGAAATATGAGTAATAGTTTAGTACAAAACTTCATTCAATAAAATGTTAGCTTTTAAACAGCTCTTCTCATATCACAGGAAATCTTACACACATCAAAGTCATGTCATTTGTTTTACAAGCATTAATTTATCTATTTGAAAGAAACGGAATGAACTTTGTAAGGAAATTCAAGGATGTTTTTCTTTTAATATGTAAACGTGTTTTGGTTTTTGTAACTGTACTCTAAAGAAACCATCTGCTCCATTTTTATTAGCAGAAAACTTCATCAGGCAGCTGAATTAACCTGCTAAGGCAGATTTCACACTACTGTATGCTGATCATCGCTGATCATTGGGTTTGCTTTCACCACATTTAATATTTAAGTTTATCCTTGTGCAAAGTTGTTGCTGACCGCTGTCTATATTCAGACTAGAAAATGCTTAAATTCATTCCACGTTAGCCTTCTATTTGAAGCTTGCCTGGAAATGGATTTGTCCGCGTGCTCAGGCCCCCTTGCAGGCGTGCAGTCGGAGCTGGTGCCCTCCTGGCAGCACTGTGCTGTCTGTGCCCGGCCCCGCTCCCGCTGGGGAGGGCTGGCTGGACACGCCACTCCGGAGGGGGCTGCTCTCCCTTTCTCCACTAACTAGTTGTATTTAATTAATTGTGTCAAGTTTCAGGGCTACTCGGCCATGTCAGTGGCAGGATGATTCTGACTGCTACGGCATCTTGGAGCATTGTTAGGTATTTTTGCAGAGTTTATCCAGGAGCTTGTGACTGGAAAATAATTGTGCTTTTCCTTCTGTCAGTCTGTTAGCCAGTGTGACTAAGAAGCTGAGTAGGAATACAAGCGAGAGGCAGAAGTGCAATTCTGAGTAGCCTAGTTCTGTAGCTGATCCATCAGTTTTAGTTCCATACAAAAAAGTCTGCTAGTCTTCAATTCTCACCACCTCTATAATAAACAGCATGTTCATATCTTTCAAACGCCACTAAAATACAGTGCACTTTGAGTGATCTATTGTCTTCCTTTGGGGCAGTGCAAACATGTAAGTAAGGGAGGATTTTGTGTTTGGTTTTGATGTTATTAATGCTGACTTCTTAACTCTTCCTGTTATGTTAGGGTTTTTTAATTTACATCTATTTATTGGTTCTGAAAGTTTGATCAACGTGAAGTTTTACTTTATTAAACATATTAATTTGCAGGGGCTATTGCCAATTTAACTAGAAGGCATTCTGGATCACCATCAGGTATTCTTTTTAGCCAAGGGGCTTTTTGCTCTTCCAAAGACTGCCATAGCTTGTGTGATGATAAATGATGTGTAGGTAGGACAGTAATTCTGTCAGAGGATACAAATTCTCCAGTGATTGAATGGTTTCTCTTGCCAGTTACAACTGAGAAACTAGTTAATATTCAATGGCCAAATAGTTTGCTATGCAGACTCTGAGATTTTTAAAATTTAGTTGTGGTGTTTTGTTTCTTGAGCAAACCTTGCATTTTTTATAATTCTTGGTATGATAATTGCGTAGGTCCAAGTTGTGAATAAGAACCATGGATTGCTGTTACTTTTGTAATCTATATTAGATCTCTGATTTTGCTGATGGAAAGAATCCTACCTGAGGAAAATTAGATAATTTTTTAGTTTCTTTTTATTTTGCAGCCTTGTAGTTGCAGTGGGTCACCTCCATTCCTGACATCAGTCATAACCCCATTAAACAAAAGAAGTCATACCCATTTTTGTGCCTGTATGGAATTTGGCTGCAAATACTTCAATTAAAAATATCTGGAAGAGTGTTGATAGCCATTGTGCAGCAACTCAGAAACCTGGTTCACTTCTTCAGAAATGCAAACTACTTGCAGAGTGATACTAGTGCTGTTTAATAAATGCAGGAGAGGGCAGGGAGTAGGGAAGAATTTCCAAATGACATTCTTATTAAAGCAAATCGTCAGGGGAAGGAACACTAGCTTTTAACAGAATAGAGACTTTCTTAATGCTTTGAGTCACTAATAAAGTTAGAAACAACATCCATAGATAGTGTTAAATAATGTACCATAAAATTCTGCTTGCTTCAGTGTAACAGATATTAGCATAGTGTAAGAATTGGAATTACAGCTGTTCAATATTTTTTGGACTTAACACATAAACTTGAAAAAAAGAGCATGCAACATTTAGAAAGTTATGTTGCTGATAAACTTGGTGTCTTGTCTTGCTACTGTTACATGAAAAGCCAGCTGAACCTTGATTCAACTGGAAGACTAGCAGTGTTTTCACGGAAGTACTGCTCAAGCTGTAACACAACACCCCCAAACTTTTTTCTTAATAAAACTAACAAATGCAGCTTGTTGCAGTTATGCAGGATTGTACCTTCCTGGCTGATTCTTCCTGATGTGTCTGTGCATAAGAACTCAGGATCTATACATTCTCTCTCCAGTAAGGAATGGAGTGCTCATATTAGGCAGTTAATCACTGTTGCTCCTCATCCTGAAATACCATAAGGTAGGGAAATAAAAACTGATCTTAGAGTGCATGCTCTGATTTCAAAGGTAAAATCTGTGATGAGCTTTAATTACTAACTCTCTAGTAAAAAAATAAATACATAAATTTCTAAGCATCATTCCAACTGTTTATTTCTAAATATATCTGTTTTAAAAAAAAAAAAA